ACTATTGAGGTACAAAAGTTGAAAGGGCATCATAAAGCTACTGTCAGCTTTGGGAAGATGAGATAACAGCACTACTATTTCTGTTCCTCGCTGACTGAATTTCTGCAAAGCGATTTTCATGTTTGGTACAGTTTCCTGAGAACTTGGTCGATTGGATTGATCATTGCCTCTTGCTTTCCAGACAAAGGTATCCGGTTCACGTGCTTAAATATAAAACTGTTGAGGCAAGGAAAGAAGGAAACCATGAATACAATGAAATACGTTTATTGACAATTGCACCCACCTGGTCGTCCAATTTCCCTTCCCGAGAAAGGCGTAAGCGACACTGGAAAAGGGCCGCGTAGCCGGTCATGAATGCGTCCACGCCAGCACGATGGCAGCCTAACAACAGTTCTTGAACATTTACGACTTTACAATTAAACAACTGTTGTTCTAACCAGTTACAGCTATTCTTGGTTTATTTTTCAGATCCTCGACGGAAATTCGTTCTCTGCGCGCTTCCTTCTCCTTCTCTTCCAGTCTTTCCTTCTCCAGAATGCTGTCTGGTTTTAGGTGATCGAATCTAAAGTATTTTCAATCATCTAACTAACACTGGAGAACCGAACCTCCTTAATAACAATAATTCTGCGAAAGTTTCTTGGAAGTCTACCATGTCCGCTTCTGTCAATAACACTTGTGTCGCCATCTGTCTTCTTGAGATAGCCTCCCAAGAAACGAAGGACAGAACTTTCGAGGCGTAGTTCAGCTAGGTGGAGGCATCTAATGGTACTCAACGAAACCTGTACCGACCAACTGGTAATGATCGGTAAGATCTTGTGACCAAAGAGGGTCACTCGCACCATTTTTTGGCTTCACAAGAGTTTACAGGTCTTGCAAAAAAATGACCTCTTGGTTGATCTGAATTAAAAGAGGAACTAGAGGAAGTGCAAAATGCCCCTACCAAGCCGAGTACCGCTATTCCCGCATGATCTACCGTCCCAAGACGCGCCACACATTCTAGTTCCAGGTGAAGTTGCGGTGGCTTCCCAATGCGATTTGGTCTATAGACTGGCTTATGGTGGACAGCCGATGTACATATTGAACTGTAATTCTGTGCCGCCAGATAACTTCTGGTACCAAGTCGAGCGCGACAAGCGAGCGCTCTAGTATGTAGCTCCAGTTCACCACATTCACCTTCCGAACAGCTAATTATATTTTTCTACG